CATGAGATGCCCCTGGTACCTTTTTCATAGGCTTTTTTGAGTTTGGGCAAGGACACAGGGGCCCCATGATCCCCTATTGCCCAGGGGCCCCATGAGTTGTCAGTCCGCCCCTGCGTGTGAACAAGGTGTCAATGAATTAAAGTGTTTGTTCACCAATGCCAGAAGTCTGTCAAGCAAAATAGGTGAGTTGGAAGGTTTGGTGCATAAAGAGAACTATGATTTAATTGCTATTGCTGAATCTTGGCTTCATTCTTCACATGACTGGGCCATTAATATTCCTGGCTATGTTCTCTTTCGGAGAGACGGGGGTAAATAGGAAAAGGTGGCGGTGTCTGTCTCTATGTGAGAAGTGATCTCAGAGTGAGTGTGAAAGAGGACCTAGTTGATGGAGAGTGTGATTAAGGCTGAAGTATTATGGGTGGAACTGCACATGGGGGTGTGTACTACAAAGGTTATCATTGGAGTTTGTTATAGGCCTCCCAGTGTTAATGAGGAGGTGGAGACTCAGCTCCTTGCACAGATGGAAAGGGCTGCAATGGCTGGGACAGTGATAATAATGGGGGATTTTAACTACCTGGAAATTGTCTGGAGTAATGGTACTGCAGGTACAGTTAAAGGGCAACAATTTTTAAACCTACTACAGGACAATTTCATGGTACAGTTCATAGAGGCCCCAACTAGGAATGATGCTCTGCTGGACCTGGTAATCTCAAACCATGCAGAGCTTATTACGAATGTCCATATAAAAGAACATCTGGGTAGCAGTGACCATAAACATGACTTCATTTATTGTTAGCTGTAAACAGCAAGCACATACGGGAAAAATAAAAATGCTCAATTTTAAGAGCTAATTTTCCACGGCTGAGAGCTGCTCTCCAAGACTTAGACTGGGAGGGAATATTGGCATCAATGAACACAACACAGAAATGGGAGTTCTTCAAATAGACTGTATGTGAACACACTGCAAAAAATATATTCCCATGGGCAACAAGTTTAAAAGGCTAAAAATCAAACCTATGTGGCTTATGGCCAAAGTTAAAAAAGCTATAGATAATAAGAAAAGAGCTTTTATTCAATATGAAAATTAAGGAACGCGATCATCGTTTAAACATTACAAAGAATATAACAGAATATGCAAAAAGGAAATAAAGGCTGCAAAAATTCAAAATTAACGACAGACTGCAAAAGATAGCAGGACCAACCCCCAAAAATTCTTCAAATATATTAATAGTAAAAAGGTCCAGTCCGAGCATGTAGGCCCTTTACAAAATAATCTAGAGAGGGTGACTGGGGACAAAGAGAAGGCAAATTTATTAAATATCTTCTTCAGCTCTGTGTACACAAAGGAGCATGGGGGAGCTCTTGTCCATAATTGGCATGGTACTGACACAGCTCCAGATGATCCACATTGGCTCACAATTGATATGATCCAAAAATATTTAGACAGAATAAATGTGAATAAAGCACCTGGACTGGATGGCATATACCCACGGGTCCTTAAAGAATTGGGCTCTGTCATTTCAAAGCCATTGTTTCTAATTTTTATGGACTCTTTAATGACTGGCATAGTACCCCTGGATTGGCGTAAGGCCAATGTGGTGCCAATATTTAAAAAAGGGTCAACATCTTTACCAAGTAATTATAGACCTGTTAGTTTAACTTCTATAGCTGGGAAGATACTGGAGAATTTAATAAAAGACAACATAGATGAGTTCTTGCTGGAAAAAAATATTTTAAGAAACAGACAGCATGGATTCATGAAAGACAGAAGTTGTCAAACAAATCTGATTTCTTTTTATGAGGGGGTGAGCAAAACCTTGGACAGGGGGTGACGGTGGACGTGGTATACTTGGATTTTGCAAAAGCATTTGACACAGTTCCCCACACACGGCTAATGTGTAAGGTAAAGTCTACGGGCTTGGAAAAATCCTTATGTAAATGGATAGAAAACTGGCTAAAAGATTGTATTCAGAGAGTAGTGGTTAATGATTCATACTCTGAATGGTCTAGGGGTGTCAGTGGTGTACTCCAGGGTTCAGTGTTGGGACCCTTACTTTTTAATATATTTAAAAAACGATATAGGGTCTGGGATTATAAATCCCATTTCAGTCTTTGCAGATGACACCAAGCTGTGCAGTGGAATAACATCCTTACAGGATTTCTCCAATTTACAAGCTGACCTCAATGTACTGTTTAATTGGGCGACTATGTGGCAAATGAGGTTTAATGTTGATAAATGTAAGGTTCTGCACTTGGGGAAAAGAATATGCATGCATGCATCATACATACTAGAGGGGGTACAACTGGAGGAATCAATGGTGGAGAAGGATCTGGGGGTTCTGGTAGATCACAAGCTTAATAATTGCATGCAATGCCAAGCTGTGGTTTCTAAAGCGAGCAAAATCCTCTCTTGTATTAAAAGAGGTATAGACTCCAGAGAGAGAGATATAATTTCCCCCGGTACAAATTATTAGATGTTATTTGTGTCCTTGCTAGTGAGTACCATCACATATATTCGTCAAAGGTACCATTATTCCTGGGACTAAAGTGAGGTAGCAAAAGAAAAAAAAAAAGTGGTTCCAGGAAATGAATAGAAAGGATGTTGCCCAAATGATGACAATAGTTCTCCTGTTGTGTTTTCTGCAGGTCAAGAATTGAGAGGTATTCTTTTGAATGTGACACAGATGGCAAAACAAGAAAAAAAAACTGATGGGTTAATCCCTAGGCACCTGAAATGTAAAAAATGAAAACCTTTAGACTTTATAGCAACTGTGGGGCAGCACAGTGGCTAAGGGGTTAGCACTTCTGCCAGGGTTGTTGGCTCAAATGCCAACCACGGCACCACCTGCCTGGAGTGTGCATGTTCTCCCTGTGCCTGTGTGGGCTTCCTCCAGGTACTCCGGCTTCCTCACGCACTCCAAAGACATGCTGGTAGGTTAATTGGATCCTGTCAAAATTGGTCCTAGTATGTGTATGTATGAATGTAAGGGTTAGTGACCGACGTGAATGTACTATATATATATATATGTGTGTGTGTGTGTGTGTGTAAAGCACTGCATAAATTGACAGTGCTATATACGTATCTGATATGAATAAATACAATAAAAATAATAACTGTGAAGTTTGGTTATAGGCATACATGTGGGTTACTGTTTAAATGACAGGGCTGCCTGATATTCCCAGCCTAACCCAGTAATCCACATGTTACACATGATTTTGATGAATAGTATATAGCATATATCTTTACTGCATTCTGGTTAAACCAATTATAATAGAAAAAAAATGATATTCCAACTAGTTTTGAGCAGATTTGCAGAGGCAGCAATTTGATAGAACAAATGGGTAGTCTTCCCAGCTTATGGTGAAAAGTCAAAAGGATATTTTCTGTTTTAATAAATAAGGCTAATAGAGTATTTAATTACATTAACTTACCAAACAAAGCAAATTAAAAAAAACCAAAACATTACTCACCAGCCACTTTCTTAGGTACACCTGTTCAATTGCTTGGTAACACAGACTGCATATCAGCCAATAACATGGCAGCAACTCAATGCATTTAGGCATCTAGACGTGGTGAGGATGACTTGCTGAAGTTCAAAACGGGCATCAGAATGGGGGAAAAAAAGGGGATTTAAAGTGGGACTGCACTGCATCTGATCACCACAAACTAAAAATGCTATTTCATTCATTTTAAATATTCAAAGCAAACTCACCCATCAAACCATGTCTCCATACTTTATTTTGCCGAGAAATCAGTTTGAAAAACACCCCCTGGCATTTCTGGCCGTGGCCATCTTGAAAAAGGCCAGATGATTTATCAATTACTTCATGGAATCCATCTGCCCTTAGCTCAGGCATAGACTGAGCTGAGAACCCTCCCTTCCCTCCTGAAGACTCCTGGGATGTATGACATCATTTGCCTAGGCACTGAAACCAGGAAGTAACTGAAGACATTTTTGGCTGATTAGCAATTTGGATTACCAAGCAATTGAACAGGTGTACCTAATAAAAAGTGGCTGGTGAGTGTATAAACTCACACACACACACAGTATCCATTGCTATACATTGCTATTGGGAATTAAAGAGGTTTTTGCCCAAACAACAAAATAAATTAATAAGCTCCTGTATCAACTGCAGTTTGATAAGAAAGAAACTGATTGAAGGGAAAAAAGGTTTTGGTGACATTTGCAAGCATATACTTTGAGGTGATGTCCCTTGACACTTCCTTCTAGGCGTTTCCCTAATTGTATGACTATTCTGATATGTACAGATAGAGATGGTGGGATTCAGAGGGTCACTCTTTAGGTGAATGTTTAGCTGCTCTGTTTTACTTCTCACTTAAAGTGTTACTAAACCCACAATAGTAAAACCAGGCTGTATATACCGTAAAGCATGCTTCTTATACTCACTGTGAAACCTAAGGGGTTAATCCTCCGTATTGTGTAAAAGGCTGTTTGATCCTGTCTTCTCTGATCCTCCCCTTCTTCTACTGTCCCCAATCCATCTGCTTATAGTACAGAGCTCTAGGAGTCACTCTGCACATGCTCAGTATGTCATAGGACAGTTAGAGCAGAATGAAAACTCCTCCTACAAGCTTTAACCAGCTGGACACTGATAGAGGTCACAAGACTGCTATATACTGCTGATGAGAAAAGGTATTTAGCAATTTATATTTACTAAAATAATTGCATTTCTATGTTCTGTGTACTGTGGGAGACTGGATATAGTGAATGCAGGATCCGGGGAGACCAGATATAGTGAATGCAGGGTCCGGGGAGACCAGATATAGTAAATGCAGGGTCCAGGGAGACCAGATATAGAGAATGCAGGGTCCGGGGAGAACAGATATAGTGAATGCAGGGTTCGGGGGTACCAGATATAGTGAATGCAGGGTCCGGGGAGACCAGATATAGTGAATGCAGGGTCCGGGGAGACCAGATATAGTGAATGCAGGGTCCGGGGAGACCAGATATAGTGAATGCAGGGTCCGGGGAGACCAGATATAGTGAATGCAGGGTTCGGGGGTACCAGATATAGTGAATGCAGGGTTCGGGGAGACCAGATATAGTGAATGCAGGGTCCGGGGAGACCAGATATAGTGAATGCAGGGTCCGGGGAGACCAGATATAGTGAATGCAGGGTTCGGGGAGACCAGATATAGTGAATGCAGGGTCCGGGGGAGACCAGATATAGTGAATGCAGGGTCCTGGGTTTAGTAACACTTTAAAGCAGAACTAATCCTACAATGCAAAATTTTGAGCAGGAGAGTTTTTATAGCAGAATAGACATGCTATATGTCCATTGCAATAAGACACACTTACCTACCTGCTCATAGTCTCCTATAAAATGCACACTGAGCTATGCATGTGAACATGCATGGGATCACAACATCCTGCACCGGCCAATCAAAAAGCCAAAAACCCAGCACCTGGAAGAGGATAGCGGCCGGTGAGGGATGTTACAGTTGCATTGCTAGAAGGTTGAGTTGGGTATCTTGCAGGGTTTTGTTCCATTGACACTCTCCTCTCCAGCAATCCCCTACCTCTCCTTCCTCCATCATAGCCTATAGTACAATACCCAATGTTAGCTGGTTTTCGAGCCTAGAGGGAGCAATGACATTACCCCCTCTGTGATGTGACCCATGTTTGAGGCTAGCAATTGGTTACATGGGAGAAGGTCAAATGTTTCTGGGGAGGATTGCTGAAGAGGTATCAGTGGGTTGAGGGGAAGGGGGTTGCAATATGAATAAGCAAAGTAACAGTATTTCTTTAAAGACATGTTAAATAAACTAAAATAACTAAAATAATTAAAACTACTATTATATGCAAAGTCAAACCTTCACATCAAACTGAAATCTGGGGTCTTATTATTCTTATTGCTGCCTAAGCTAGAAGAGCATCTTTAGCCACCTTTGAGTGTCACAACTTCAAAAAAGCTTCCCAGCATGGATATGCTTGTGAAAACTGAGCCCTTTCTCCAAAAAAATAATTGTATAAAAACTGTCAGTGTTCAGGGACAACACAGAGAAGAGAGCACATCATCCTTAATGATGATAGCTACATTACCTTGAACCACTGACAATATGTATGCACCAAATACATATTTTTCAGCTGTCTTCATTGACTGTGGAAATCTGCTATTCACCACAGAAAAAGTGTATTCAAAAATAAAATCACCTTTACACATCTCCTTCCTCTTCCGGGCTTGGTGCTCTGAGGTGGAGGGCTAATAGTTATAGGGTCAGAAGAAAGTGGGCTGACATTGTCGCTCTTGTGATTGAAATTCCCCTCTGAGTTCTTTTTCTTAGGCCATTTTGCACATTCCCTGCTTTGGATGAGCAGTCACTAAATGGATTTGGTTTAGGTCTGCTTAGAGAACCATTTTCTTTGTGTCCTAGCACGCCATTTTGAGTCCTTGCAACAGGAGCAGACTGGTTACCATTAAAAGGCCACTGGTCTGACTTTGGCTCCTGTTTACCGGAATGGCTGGTTATTTGGTCAAACTGCTGCCCAAACTCAATGTCGTCAGTTAGATTCCCATTGCTGTCGGGCCCGTTCCTTAGGCTTTTTGCGTTTTCAGTTTCACGATTGACAGATTTAGAAGAATCATGTGGAGAAGAAGTTGATTGATCTGCAGTTGCAAAAGGATCATCGCTAAAAGGATCTGGATTAGGTGCAGGAAAAAAGTTGAGATTGGTGGAAAATGGGTTTTCAGATGAGAAAGGTGACCGTGCTTTGGAATGAGGAACAGAAGAACAAGAGTGGGTGAAAGGATTTCCTTTAATGCAGTTTTGATTGGTGTCGATTTCAGTGTGTAAATCCACTAACAGGATATCGTTACTTTCCTAGCGATGCGGGAAGAAATGAGATGAAACGTTAGCGAGGCAAACGTGCAACTCATCAAAGAAAGCAGAACAAAGCAAAAATACACATAGATCAACATAAATTACACTTGTTATAACAAAGACAAAAGCAATTAAAGCAGACCTTTGGAAATCTACTCTTTCTGGCAAGGAGATCTCCTCTACAATTGGTCCAGGTCATTACAGTCAGGGCTCTGCTGTGACTATACCTCCTGTTTCCTTTTTCTGGAATGCATTTTCCATATACTCCTTGGAAAAAGAGTGGCCATTACAAATTGTGTAGACTCCAACTGGATTCTCCTAGAAATTTATGGAAGAACAACTCCAGGTTGTTCAGCACACAACAGAGCACTAGCTGTCACAGTAGAGCTGAAGGTGGGAGGTTTACACTCTTGTGAAATCCAGCACCCCCTCATTTCCAACCTGTAAAATGCACAATTGAAAATGTCAAAGTTGCCTTGTGCAGGAAAAAGTCAGATTTTACCTTCCTCAGGAGTGTTGAAGAGATAGTGGGACTCACATTTACCTTTCATGAACCCACTGAAGGAACTGAGGTCTACTAAAAAAGGGATCATCAACTGTGCCTTTTGAAATGCATTTTTATAATAAAAAGTTTAGGATAAGCTATAAAAATATATACTGCATTTGCCATGATTCGCTTTTTTTGAGGTTCTTCTTTCCATTGAATTTTAGCTGAACATCGGGACTCTGGTGTCCACTGTGCCTACCATATACTTCTGCGATATAATAGGCTCTTCAACCTCAAGCCTCCTTGCCAAATCCTCATGCTCCTTGCTACAAAAGGAAATAAACCCATCATTAAGATTTTGTCTACTAATGTAAACTGCTGTGTACCTCTTGAATTAAACCTTTTCTTTTTTTTTAGTTTTTTTAAATACTGGACAGGATGAAGAAGGAATAGAACCTCTGTTAAGACGTGTCCGTCTTAGGAAATTCACCATCTCTGTCCTATTGTCCATTGTCACTTGGATTGAAAATAAGGGAAAATCCAAAATTTGTATTTGTCACCATAACAAATACAGTCAGGTCCATAAATATTGGGACATCAACACAATTCTAACATTTTGGGCTCTATACACCACCACAATAGATTTGAAATGAAATGAACAAGATGTGCTTTAACTGCAGACTCTCAGCTTTAATTTGAGGGTATTTACATCCAAATCAGGTGAACGGTGTAGGAATTACAACAGTTTGCATATGTGCCTCCTGCTTGTTAAGGGACCAAAAGTAATGGGACAATTGGCTTCTCATCTGTTCCATGGCCAGGTGTGTGTTATTCCCTCATTATCCCAATTATGATGAGCAGATATAAAAGGTCCAGAGTTCATTTCAAGTGTGCTATTTGCATTTGGAATCTGTTGCTGTCAACTCTCAAGATGAGATCCAAAGAGCTGTCACTATCAGTGAAGCAAGCCATCATTAGGCTGAAAAAACAAAACAAACCCATCAGAGAGATAGCATAAACATTAGGCGTGGCCAAAACAACTGTTTGGAACATTCTTAAAAAGAAGGAACGCACCGGTGAGCTCAGCAACACCAAAAGACCCGGAAGACCGCGGAAAACAACTGTGGTGGATGAGCGAAGAATTTTTTCCCTGGTGAGGAAAACACCCTTCACAACAGTTGGCCAGATCAAGAACACTCTCCAGGAGGTAGGTGTATGTATGTCAAAGTCAACAATCAAGAGAAGACTTCACCAGAGTGAATACAGAGGGTTCACCACAAGATGGAAACCATTGGTGAGCCTCAAAAACATGAAGGCCAGATTAGAGTTTGCCAAACGACATCTAAAAAAAACCTTCACAGTTCTGGAACAACATCCTATGGACAGATGAGACCGAGATCAACTTGTACCAGAGTGATGGGAAGAGAAGAGTATGGAGAAGGAAAGGAACTGCTCATGATCCTAAGCATACCACCTCATCAGTAAAGCATGGTGGTGGTAGTGTCATGGCGTGGGCATGTATGGCTGCCAATGGAACTGCTTCTCCTGTATTTATTGATGATGTGACTGCTGACAAAAGCAGCCAGATGAATTGTGAAGTGTTTTGGGCAATATTATCTTCTCATATTCAGCCAAATGCTTCACAACTCATTGGACGCCGCTTCACAGTGCAGATGGACAATGACCCAAAGCATACTGCAAAAGCAACCAAAGAGTTTTTTAAGGGAAAGAAGTGGAATGTTCTGCAATGGCCAAGTCAATCACCTGACCTGAATCCGATTGAGCATGCATTTCACTTTCTGAAGACAAAACTGAAGGGAAAATGCCCCAAGAACAAGCAGGAACTGAAGACAGTTGCAGTAGAGGCCTGGCAGAGCATCACCAGGGATGAAACCCAGCGTCTGGTGATGTCTATGCGTTCCACACTTCAGGGTGTAATTGACTGCAAAGGATTTGTAACCAAGTATTAAAAAGTGAAAGTATGATTTACGATTATTATTCTGTCCCATTACTTTTGGTCCCTTAACAAGTGGGAGGCACATATGCAAACTGTTGTAATTCCTACACCGTTCACCTGATTTGGATCTAAATACCCTCAAATTAAAGCTGACAGTCTGCAGTTAAAGCACATCTTGTTTGTTCATTTTCAAATCCATTGTGGTGGTTTATAGAGCCAAAAATGTTAGAATTGTGTCGATGTCCCAATATTTATGGACCTGACTGTATAAAAAGAACACTTGTTTTGATGATTTGGATAGATTTCCTCTTGCTTCCTTGTGTGTCTAGAGATCAGGAAGTAATCTGTGGACACAGCCATCTCTATCTATTGCCTACTCTTTCTAAAATGGCATATATATACTTTAAATTACTGATCAAGTACAGACTTAATCCTGCCTTGCCTACCGTCATTCCATTTACTTCACTTATTGGTTGATGGAGAATTAAATCTTGTCAGACTTTCTGTATTATGAGACAGACTGTTAGGAAGAAATCAGACACTTACATCTGTGCAATAAGGTACCTCTGAAAATAGCCTTCTGTGGCAAGAAATGTATTACTGAATTTTTTCATATGTTGTATCACACCAGTTAAGGAATGAAACCTTTAGTCGTTAATTAACAAAGTCATAAATCAGGTTTAGATCTTCTCTGGTGCTTGTGAGGAAATAACAGCACTTCTTACTAGTGATATTTTGTGGGCTGGATAAATATTTTAAAACATAAAACCTATCAGTTAGCTAAAAAAACTAATGGATCCCTTTATAATGTAGCGAAGGTGACTTTCTCCAAGAGTTCTCTTGGGCCTTGTTCACACAGGCTCCGATTTTGTATAAGAGCAGCGTGAACAGCAAAATGAGACTTTATGAGACCTTTGCAAAGCTTTCAGCAGCTTTCCCAAAGCCTTTAAAGCACCCTTCAGCTCCCTTTTGGAAATGTATTACAAAAATCCTAATATCAGTGCTGATTGTCACTTTATCCAAGCTTCTAGT